TTAGTGACAGTGACTATATCTGCATATACTTGATCAGTCAAACCAATTTTTCATGCATTTTTGTGACCAAGTATGTAAATGAAGCTAAACCACGATACGCACCGACTACCTTTTTGTTAGGGGATATTTTGGATGTTTGACTAAGAGAAAAGAGATGAAATGCCAAAAAAAAAAAAGATGGAAAAGAGAAAAAAAGATCACAGCCAGCACCAGAATCCCTTCTCTGGAGAGGAGAGAGGGATTGAGTGAGCGCTGGAAGGACAAACAGATGGAGAGGTGACAAAAAAAAGGGAGGCCAACGAGAGGAAAAGGCTACCCTTTCTCCCACCACATCGAGGGGTTGCAGAGTGTGAGACATGACAGAAAGGACGGAGGAGAGGGGAAAAAAGACGGGATGAGATTAGAGGATAAGCAGAGATCATCCCTCCATTGTTAAAGGGATGGGAAAAAAGGACCCTCCCTCTTCCTCTATTTTCCTCCCCTCCACCATACCTCCTCTTTTTTCTTTTTGCATGCTTTGTTTTGACCATTGTAGTGAGCTTGAAGTGGATGGAGGGATGGCGAGAGAAAGCAAGAGATAACATTGCTCCATCCTGTTATACATCCCTCTTTTCCTCTCATCTCTCCACCTCTCTACCTTTCTCTCCATCTCCCCCTCGTTCTAGTGCTCCACCTGTGAAATGTAGAGGATGTGAGATAGGAAGATGGAGAGACAAAGAGATGGAGGGAGGGTGGGAGGTTTGAAATCACAGGGGGGGTAGAGCCTCACAACATTAGCATGCTGAGAGTGTCAGCACTCTCCTCTTTTTTTCTCTCTCTCTCTCCCTCCATCCCCATCCCTCACTCCGTCTCTTTCTCCTCACTGGTCACTGCAATTATACCATCAAAACACTCCAGCCTGAGAGCATAATAGCTTCCCCCTGTGCGTGTGTGTGCGTTATCACGAGAGATCAAAAGAAAGAGATGTGTGTGTCGGTGTGCGCCTGTGTGTATTTGTGCATAATTTAGTGCCATGCATGGTACATTACGTGTGCATGTATGACATAAAGGGCAGCTATGCGTGTGTGTACCCATTCTGGATTTGCAGCATGTGTGGGTGACATGAGTGTGTATGTTTAAGTATCTTTTTGAGTCCTGGCGACTAGAAAAACTGCTTCTCCAACCCCTGACCAAACACACTCTTAAGCGCACTCTAAGAGACCCACTTTGCATGTGTGTGCGAGTCTGCCGAGTTTCTATTTACACACACTCTCTCGCACTGGCTCACACTAATGGATGCATGCAGGCATACAGTCATGCCTCTGAGAGACAAACCGTTATGACCTACATGCCCAGTGGGTCATCATCAAGCCAAACTGCACACTGTGACACCTTTGGGTGTCTATACACACACACACACACACACACACACGACGCACACACACTTTCTCTGACTGTTTTTATTTTTGCTCTCTCAACTTCCTCTATTGCGCTTCCCTTCCGCCCTCTGTGTCTTCCTTTTTCTCTCTTGTTCCCTAACACACACATACACACTAACCCCCCTCTGTGAGCTTGTTATTCCTCTGTCCATTCGTTTCTCTCTGTCACCTTGCCCTAAGCTATTTGAGTACACTTCTGCCTCTCGTTCTCCCTCTCCTCTGTCTGTCTCCCTCTCTCTCTCACACACACACACACACACACATGCACGCACAACCATTTGTTCTCTTTCTGTCTGTCTGCTTCACTCTCACCCTTTCCAGCCTGCCTGTCTCTCTGTTTCTGCCTGTCTTGACATATGTTAACAGCCTCTCTGTGTCTCTTTCAATTTGACCCAGAGCCTGAACGTCAGACAAAGCGTATAACTAAAAGCATGCAGGAAGAGTTTCAACATTTGAGCAAAACTCCACCAATTTTAGACAGAAAATTCAGTTTTCTTCATCCTGATGAATCTCATAACACCCGGTGATAACTGTTTCTGTTTCCAAGAAGCCAAGGGGAGCCAAAAGCCTGCCTTCAGACTGCAAAGAAGGCATGGACGTCCAGGAAGGGTTTAATTGAAATATGTCATTGAGTTGCATTATGGGAAATGTAGGATTCAGTCTAGTATGTGTGCTTACTTCAGAAATAGGTGTAATCTATGAAAACCAAGCAACCCAGTGAAACGATCAGACTTTAAAGCATGTCGCACACACACCGCAGCACCGAAAACCATCAAACGCTACAATGAAACGTCTCTCATGAGGACAGCCCTGCAGGAAACAAAGTCCCAGTGTTACCTTTGCTGTCAGTGCATTCAGTGGAGTTACCAGCCAGTTAGCTGGAACATTGTCTGATGTTATTAACAGGAGAATGATCCAATTTGCACCTTGAGGCTTTTTAAAGGTGAAGAAGGAGCAATATTGAGTTCTGCAATATCTGCTGACCCACCTGTTAAAAGGGAGTTTTTCTTTCCTACTGTCGCCAAGATAGATAGATAGATAGATAGATAGATAGATAGATAGATAGATAGATAGATAGATAGATAGATAGATAGATAGATAGATAGATAGATAGATAGATA